CGCCCTCGGGGGTCATTGATTTTCATTATATACATATAGTGAAAACTTGAAAAATCTTCTGGTCTGAAAGTAAATGGCCTAGAGCTTTGATATTTGGTCTATGGTATCATCTATAGGTCCAAAACCAAAGTTGTTCAAATTTTGTTCCTAGAATTAAAATTGGCCCCGCCCTGGGGGTCATTGATTTTCCCTATATGTATATAGTAAAAACTTAAAAACCTTCTTTTAAAGAACCCAAAGAGCTAGAGCTAAGATATTTAGCATGAAACATCTTCTAATGGTTGTCTACCAAGTTTGTTCAAATAAAAGCCCTGGGGTCAAAATTGGCCCCACCCCAGGGGGTCATTGATTTTCCCTATATGCATATAGTAAAAACTTAAAAAATTTTCTTTAAAAGAATGCAAAGAGCTAGAGCTAAGATATTTAGCACGAAACATGTTCTAATGGATGTCTACCATTTTCGTTCAAATAAGAGCCCTGGGGTCAAAATTGGCCCCGCCCCGGGGTTCATTCATTAGCTCGACTTTTTTTTTTTTAGATATATACATATTATATATATACATACATATATATATATATATACACATATTATTTATATATATATATATAGATATACACATATATATATAAATATACATAATATGTATATATTTATATATATATATTCACACATATCTTCACTTACGGGGCCATATATAAGACCGAGTTTAGTGGCATTATTTCATGCAGTCAGTTTTTATATACGCCACTATATAGGCCTATAATGAACATTTCCATACAACAGAACTAAGGGGTACTAATTTATATATATAAACTATATATTTGATTTTACCATAGGTGAAAACATATTGACTAATAACATAAAACCCCATAATAAATATATACATTTGTGGGACATATATCATTTACTACTAAAACCGGCCTACGGGCACTATGTTAGAAGGGTAGCCTACGCCCCCATACATCGTTTTAAACATGCCAGAGTTGCGAGGCCTTATGTATGCCCCACATTAAATATACACCCCACAAGTATGGTCTCAAATAGACCGTTGCCCCGTAAATGGAGGAATGTGTTTGTATATATATATACATATATATATATATATATTTATATATATATATATATATATATATATATATATATATATATATATATATATATATATATATATATATATATATATATATACATAAAAAATCTTGTTTTAAAAAAACCCAATAAGCTAGACCTAAGATGTTTAGCATGAAACATCTTCTAATGGGTGTCAACCAAGTTTATTCAAATAAAAGCCCTGGGGTTTAAACTTGCCCCGCTCCGAGGGCCTATATACAGGTGAGCGACTTTGGGCCATCATGGCCCTCTTGTATTTTATGTGCACCAGTGTTAAAGCGCACACATATAAATTCATGCTGAATTTTATGAAAATTTAAAAAAGTGTTTTAATACTGACATTGCTAGAAGAAACTGAATCTATGTATGCAAGCTATGCAGACCAAGAAAAGCTGTCACATCATGGTCTGCCCTGTTTGCAATTCAGTCAGTACATATTTTAAAAAATTTTCTCTCAAGTATTATTTTAAAACATTTTTCCAAAGTTTGATTTTTTGAAACTTTATTTTCTCATCATGAGATATGCCGCTTTAATGTATAATAATATGCTACAGTATAACCCCTGCAGAGAAATATCCTTAGGGACACAAATATTTTGGTTGTTGCTTTAGAGGTTCTGCTCTGTAGAGGTGAAATTAAGTGGAATCTTTACTTTGGGAAGAAATGATATTGTTGTTATAAAGAGGTGATTGCTCTACAGAGGTAAAATATACATGTAGTGGAAGTATCTACTTTGGGAAAAAATGATATTGTTGTTGTAAAGAAGTGATTTGAGCTGTGTCATGACAAAACCAACATAATGCATTTGCGACCAGCATGGATCCAGACCAGCCTGCGCATCCGCGCAGTCTGATCAGGATCCATGCTGTTCGCTATCAGTTTCTTTACTTGTTATAGGGTTTGTAAGTGAACAGCTTGGATCCTGATCAGACTGTGCGGATGCGCAGGCTGATCTGGATCCATGCTGGTCGCAAATGTATTACGTTGGTTTTGTTGTGACACGGCTCATTTCTCTACACAGGTTATACATGTACTTACCATTCTCTATTATATATATATATTGTGATACAAATTAATGTTTATATATTTTATCTTCTTACAAAACAATTTTAATGTTTTTATATGTGTTACACTTTTATAGATGTTGTACTTACATTTAGATAGCTTTTTTTTTCTCACACTGTGATTTTTTATTGATATCCCATTTTTGTATGGTCTTGCATTTTGTAAACTAGTAATTTGTTTAATTAAGGTGAAAATATTTGAAATAATAATTACGATTTGTGAATATTCAATTTCATTTGTTGAAGTCCGTTTTGAAGGTGTTACTTTTAGTATTATATAAATTTAGACGTGGCTTTATTTGTTTTGTAGCTTGATTTGTTAAGATATTGTGGGTCTCTTTTCTTATTCAGTGTGAAGAAAAGTGTGACTTTGTTGATGATCAGTTAATTAGAGAATACTAAATTAATATTGTTAAAAAATGAAATTCTGAACTTAATTTATTTTAATGTAGAGGAAGTGACAAAATTTTTCAAAAATGTCAGTACTTTTATGGTGTTTTACCAGATAATTTTGTATACGAAAAGTCAAGTTTTGACCATTTGTCTAATTTTCGTAACACAAAAATATCATTTTCTCTAAAATAGAAGTTTTATTTTACAATTAAGTATTCATGTGTGCAAATAGTTAAATAATGTTCTGTTCATATTTTATACAGATTAACATACATGTATAAACAGATAAACATTCATGAATAATGTGATTTAATGTCTATATAAAGGTTATAATACATGTGTACACATAGTTAAATAATGTACTGTTCTTATCTATACAGATTAATAGTTTAATACACATGTATAAACAGAAAAACATTCATGAATAATGTGCTTTAATGTCTATATAAAGGTTATAATACATCTGTACACATAGTTAAATTATCTATACAGATTAATACACATGTATAAACAGATAAACATTCATGAATAATGTGCTTTAATGTCTATATAAAGGTTATAATACATCTGCACACATGATTAAATAATGTTCTGTATACATATATATGTATACAGTTAAACATTCATGTACACACATAGTAAAATAATGTTCTGTAATATACTTATACAGATAAACATTCATGTACACACATAGTAAAATAATGTTCTGTAATATACTTATACAGATAAACATTCATGTACACACATAGTAAAATAATGTTCTGTAATATACTTATACAGATAAACATTCATGTACACACATAGTAAAATAATGTTCTGTAATATACTTATACAGATAAACATTCATGTACACACATAGTAAAATAATGTTCTGTATACATATATATGTATACAGTTAAACATTCATGTACACACATAGTAAAATAATGTTCTGTAATATACTTATACAGATAAACATTCATGTATACACATAGTTCAGTAATGTTCTCTATAGTCTTTAAAGTTAAACATTTATATGCACACATAGTAAAAAATGTTCTCTGCATATCTTCACAGATAAACTTTCATATATACACACATAGTTAAATAATGTTCTGTTTATACTTATACAGATAAACATTCATACATTCATGTGTACATTTAGTTAAATAAAGTTCTCTACAATCTTAAAGGTTAAACCTTCATGTGATCACAAATATAATGATGTTTTGTGCATATCTATATTGATAAAGGTGCATGTGCACATATAGTAAAGTTATGTTCTCTACAATTTTAAAAGAACATACATGTGTACACATGGTTGAATAATGCCCTCTGTTTATCTATTTGCTATATTTATCAACTTTCATCCTATGATGTAATGTAATAAATGAGAATGCCATTTTGTATTAAGCTTCATTGCTCATTTTTATACCCTTGTTTATCATTTGTTTGAATGATATAAAAAAATAGATTATATATTTTATATGTTTATAATCATTCACGTAATGTCAATAAAATTTTATTCATGTTTAAAATATCAGCTAGGGCCAAAGGTTAAACAAGTAACTGAAACTGAACATAAATACTATTGGTCAATTTTCAAAAATTGTGAGGCATCAAATAAACCAGTCAATTATGTTGATTTAAGACTGGTTTAAGTTTATTGTGTTTTATTCTGATATTCTGTTACCCATTCTGTTTAGAATTCTATTTTGAAAAAAAAATGGTTTGCTTGTCTTTACTTTATGTATTTGAATTGTTTGTACCTAATGTATATTATATATACCTAAATTCTTATTTATATTTGTTACTTTTGAATAAAGTTTTTTATAAAAGTATTTTTGATTTGCTTCTATTGCAAAATAGGGTAATTGAAAATACAAGTGTATCTAAACCCATGAAAATGAAATAAAGGAGGAGTTTACAGAAAATGGGCGTGACTGTTACGACGTAAATTATAAGATAAAGCTCCAGGACAAACATAAATACACCAACAAGTTTTGGATATCAGTTTATCAGTTATAATTGTTCTTTAGCAGGATTGAATATTAAGAACAGGGAAATCTTGTCACCTCCAATGAATATGACACGTTTTTTAGTGAATAAGGCATGTAAATACCTAAAAGAGTAACCTTCTGCTACTAGCGCCTCTGAATTGAATGCCAAATGAAATTCAAATATAATACTTTCTGTCAAGACTATCCATTTACCTACTGAAATTTTAATGGACAAACCCAGCTTCCGTTTTTGGGACTGCCCATTACCAATTTATGGGCTTTAAGGTGAAAATTTAAAGTTAATGTCAATCCTGGTCATACTGCACGGGTGTGCAGGCCACTTGTCTCTATATACTGGAGAAAAAGTCTAATCGCAGTATCGAACTTGGTCAGGGCGTCATGAATACTGACGTACTCGTGTACGGAGAAGTAAACAAGAGAAACGCTGATACATTTGGTACAACATTTTTTAATTGTTTTTCTATCAAACAAAGAAAAAAAACAGTTTAAAATGGAAAGACAAGAAATGTTGCCAGCATGGTGATCAGTTGATGACTATGATTATTTACAGCACAGCAATGTTTGTTGTTGAAGACGAGACCCTTACGTTGCTCAACTCTTTCTGAAATATCATTAAATATATCGATTTATAATTGTATAATATATAAATGCATAATATAATAATACACGTGTAAAATGTGATTTTAATTAAGTTGTGTAAGTGTTAACAGAAGTTATAGAATTTTCAATGGACTTTAACTATGACATGTGATCAGGAAAAAACAAAGTTATCATGAATTACATGTTAAGATACCAGTTATTTTCTGTTCGTGAATATTCATTTTAAGTTATCTGTTATAAGTATTATAATTTTTTACTCTTTATTAGATGCACAAATTGATCGACAAATAATATATGGATACGAAAGTGATCCGGAATTACGTTGCTGACGTCATATGACGTCATACTCGTGCCAGTACGTTATGGTTAAATATGTGGACAAACAAATAAAAGTAATATTATAAGAGTATCTTGATACATCACTTGTGTTTGACTATCGTGGATATTACTACAACGGATCATACTTGGAACACCCAAGGGCTCGTGAGATCCTAGTTTTGTAAAATTCACTCAGTCAAATCAAGATGCAGATACCTCTATAATAAAACATTTTATATTTAGTGTGAACTTGCATACCACTTTTTGTGTATGTTTCCATTCAGTAAGCCGCCTTGCCTGAAAAAAAATACAATGATCATGGTTTAATATTTATTTTTATTTGTAATAGAACGCGAGCATATTTATAATATTTTAATTAAATTCTATGAAATCTGACAAGTTATAACTAGCATGATTAAGATAAAACTTAATGAGTATGTAAGTGTATCAATCATGCAGTAAATGTTTATTAAAATCCTTTGTGATATCATAGAAGGTTTAATTTCCGTACCCACCCCAGTTGCCTCCACCTAGTCCGTTGTTTCCCCAGCTGTTCAGTCCGGTGTTTCCTCCCCAGTTACCGCCCCAGTTGCCACCCCAGTTGCCACCGCCTAGTCCGTTGTTTCCCCAGCTGTTCAGTCCGGTATTTCCTCCCCAGTTACCACCCCAATTTCCTCCCCAGTTACCACCGCCTAGTCCGTTGTTTCCCCAGTTGTTTAGCCCGGTGTTTCCACCCCAATTTCCTTGAAATCCGGTTCCAAATGTATCTATCGTGCCTTTTGTTCCTAAACCGGTTCCTAGTCCAGTGCCTAATCCGGAACTGATTCCTCCAGTGCCCCAGTTATTACCTCCAAAACCACCTGCACCCCACTGACCTCCAATGCCAGAGCCAAAACCAGTTCCAAATTGGCCGCCACCAAGACCTGAAAGAATACTCATTTGTATATGACCATAACAACAAATAATAAACACTTATAACAGAACCTATTATCTTTTCTGGTGATTATGAAGTAAAAGCATATATTTTACGATTTTGATAAGACGTATTCATTTAAGTACGTGCTATTTCGACCGTAACCGCATTGTAATATTAGTAAGTCTTAACAAGCAAGAAAATGTATTAACTTACCAAATCCTAAATCTCCTCCCCATCCACCAAGCATTCCATCGCCATATCCACTTCCGCCCCATCCCAAACCGCCAACTAAACCATGGTTACCGCCAAATCCATACCCGCCACCTATTCCAATGTCACCGCCATATCCAAAACCACCGCCTAATCCAAGGCCATCACCCCATCCCAAACCACCGCCCACTCCAAGGCCGCCGCCCCATCCCAAACCACCGCCCATTCCAAGGCCGCCGCCCCATCCATAGCCTCCGCCCAAACCAAGCTCTCCGCCAAATCCATGACCGCCGCCCAGTCCAATTCCGCTACTCCAACCTCCAAGGCCTGATCCCAAGCCTATATGTCCGCCGCCGTAACCTTTACCAATGGAACCCTTGCCGTATCCTTTTCCTGCAATATATATCAACTAACGTTATTTTTTAAAAGATCGAAAAGCTCATAAATTCACGGAATAAAGATTTAACGAATGAAAATGTACTATTAATTTGTTGAGATGTAGGTTTATAAATTTATACAGTAGAACTTCTATGAGTCGAACTTCGATTAGTCGATTTTCTCGATTTGTCGAAGTAAAATGAAAATCCCGATTTTTTCCCTTATATATTCCTTATAAAAACCTATGTATGAGTCGAGATTTTATGTGTCGAGTTTTTCGATGTGTCGAAGTTTTTTTGTGGTCCGTATATAATAAATCTACAATTTACCACAAATAAGTCGAAGTTCTTCGGTTATTTTGACACCTTCGATCTCGAGACATTTTCAAACCTTTTCTGGCCGCGAAGACGACTTCCGATCAAATTTAGGGACAGGTGTTAATTACACAGCCGTAGTTAATTTGCATCAATTATATTATATGAATATCTACCTAAATCATTATTTTTTTTTCATTTGTCTTGTAAATGCCTGCTATTTGAAGAAGAAGAAAAAACTGTCAGGTTCCCTTACCTTTGTTTGGAATAACAGCCATTGGTATAACAGGTACTGGTATTGGTGGGGGTGGTGGAGGTGGTACTGGTACAACTGGTACCACTGGGATAACAGGCTTTGGTGCTGGCATTACTGGTACTGGTATAATAGGTACTACTTTTTTCTTTGGGGCATAGCCTTTTTTACCATAACCCTTACCACCGCCTATCGAGGCTCCATAGCCGCTGCCCCATGATCCGATCCCTCCTCCCCAGCCTCCGACTCCACCTATCACCGAGCCGCCGCCATGACCTAGACCTGTACCATAGCCACCTCCGAATCCAAGACTTCCGGCGCCCAAGGAACCGAATCCTAAACTTCCAGCACCCCACGAGCCACCATGTCCGAGGCCGCTTCCCCACGATCCACCATGTCCGAGGCCACCTCCCCAAGATCCACCATGTCCAAGGCCACCTCCCCAAGAACTTCCAAGACCTCCGCCCCAAGAACTTCCAAGACCTCCGCCCCAAGAACTTCCAAGACCTCCGCCCCAAGAACTTCCAAGACCTGTGCCTAGGCTTCCCACGGAACCGAAGCTACCATATGTAGCTAATCCTCCTTGTATAAGCCCGAATAGAGCGAGGCAAATAGATAATCTCGTCTTCATTGTGCTGAAAAAATAAAACATAAAAAATCTAGAGAACATTCTATGTTGAAACGTTTAAAACGTGATTAAAAAAGAAATATATCAGGTTAAAACAAAAAAATATTAATTAAATGTTTTATAACGTAAACAGCAACAAAAACTGTAGTCTATAGGAAGGTAATGAAGGAAATGTTCACGGGACACAATCACAATTCAAGATAAACTTCCCCAAGAATAGTTTGATTTTATATCCGTAATGTGCACCAATAAAAAAAACGAATAGAGCTGTCTATTTATTCAAGGTTTTTCTTTCTTCTAAATTTTCTTCATTTTAACGTTCAGAAGCTCTCACCTCTATCTTTTCTTGGCTAATTTTAGAGGCGGATTTGTCATGCTTTGAGTTTAGAAATACACTGATTCACTATTAAGACCACTTTGAGTGAGTCCCGTCAGTGGTCTTAATAGAGAGAGAAAAAGACAACGTTCAATAATAAGACATGAGCAGTTTCGGTAATGATTCCTTTCTCTTTAAGACTAAAAACTATCATACCGGTTTTCTAAAATTATAGTGTATTTGGGTATGAAAAATATAGTTACATCTTATAGTTTACCAACTAAAAGTTACCAATCTTCATCACAAATTTTCGAAAATTCTTGTTAGTAAACTAGCCAGTTAGTAGATTCGTGGTGTGTATTTTTTTGATGTTCATATTTGAATGATTTAGATATTTTTATATGTATGTACCAAATAATATTGATATGTTGTATTAATCAAAGATAATTTTTTTATTTGATAAAAATATATTTTAGAAATCCACAAAACAATGAAATCTATGAACTTTAATTAACATTGCCTTTTTTTCTTTTTGAATGAAAGAAAAATAGTAGACACTGTTAAAATATCTAAATGATTTTAGATGGAAAGAAATTTGAAATTTTGCACATAGACAAGAATTTATATGAATATCTTACTTTCTCGTTATACGAAAATACAAAAAATGTACTTAATAATTTCTAAATTACATACATTTACTCAACTCAAATCCAACGTTTCAACGATGCTAAAAAAACAACCATTGCCTACTTTTATTTCAATTTTGTATGTAATTGAAAAATTAGAAGAAAAAATATCTAGAAAATGAACGCACCTGAGGTTTTTGCTGGCCAGCGGAGTCCTCACTGAAGAATTTGGGATTGGTAAGGGTTTTATACCAGACCTTTCTGGGCATGCGCTTTGTTCATTTCAATCGTATCCGGTGAACTATAGAGGCCGCATTTCTGACATTTTATGACCCACAATGCAATAAATTTTAAACATTAAAATTAACGTTTCATACAACTAATCATATCAATATTTTAATTCCAAAACAAGAAAGTCCCTCGGCAATTAACGCATGTATATCCTTATTTTTACGATGTTTTTGACAGCTATGGCCAAGATGATTTTCGAAATGACCATTTATATATGTAAGCAATTATTTTTGTTATTTCATTTAAGATTTTAATTGCGAATTGAGCGTTGTGCGGGTACAGCATAATTTACATAATGTAACAAAATTATACAACATAAGCGACCGCACTGTCCATGTTTGACTGACAGACGACATCAAGAAGTACTACGACTTTATTAATTAAGTTACTTTGATTATAGAAAAACTGATGTTCATATTTTACACAAACAATTAAGTTAAATGTAATGTCGGAAAAAAAACCCAGTTGTAAGAATATTTATTTCATAGAGCAAATGGCGAGATCGAGAGAGTGCTTGCTGCGCAGAAAATAGTGGCAACATTGTCGCATGGCATATGAGCAAGATTGACTATACTGCAGTATTCACTGAATAGTTAAGTTTACTAATGATTTTTTTCTGCAGGCTTGAAACACATTTTTTCTAATTTAGTATTTCGCGCTTCCATATGATGAAAGCAGTCAATTTTCTTGACAGAAACAACGTATTTCCCACTGTTCATTGAAAATACAAGATGATTGAAACCATCGGCACAGATAGGTTAATAAAAATGTTATTTAAGGAGAATAAAAAGATGAATGCTTGTACACTCAACGTCCTTTCGGTCAGAAACAGAACTTGTGCTTTTTGCGCTTTATATAAAAAGACTATTTTTATCAGAACTATTATATAAAAATTGTACATGTGCTTGAAACATTTTTATGTATTTTATTTACATCTTGTAGATTATATAAAATGTCAAAAACAATTCTTGCACCAAATCTCATCTCTTAATAAAAAAATATTAACATTTACATTTGGCATTGTTACAATTTGATGTTTATTGCCTTTTAGTACAAAAGCCGTGTTTGAATATTATTTCGGAAAGTTCAACTCATATTATTTTGATTACCTCCCTTTGATGAAGATAAGTATTGAAGACGTTTAGCCAGTTTTACTAAAAAAACTAGTAATACAATACTTTCCATGTACAAAATACATTTGAATGAGCTCCGCAAGCTTGAGATTAATGAATCAAGAGAGTGTTTTGGGTTGCCAAAATATGCCTGAAATAATTTGAATAAGGCTTTAATTATCGCAAATTAGCAAATATTACACTTTTTCATGCCATCCAGGTGCTGCACACTGATTTATAAAATCATATCATCTCTGTAACCGTTTTAATTTTAATATAAAAACATTTTCCTGAAGAGATATTTTTGAAAAGTTATACATGTTCATATTAACTTTCGTATATAAGTTTTTTTAATCACACGCTGAAGAGCTATTCTTTGTACTTATTTGTGATATCTTGGCCATCCTTTTAATAATGGCAGATAGTCAAAGACATTGTGTAGGACGATATGCAAATGAACCTGAAACTGGCAACAGCAATTTGCTATATATGCAATGAGATTTCCGCTGTGTGACTTTCCATGGGTTAGGGTCACCTGCTTTGCTAAGAAATTTAGCAATTTTGTAATTAGCGAAAAAGAGTATTTATTTACAAAGTCATATTATGGTGAGTTAAACGGTTGTCTCCACTAGAAAATGATCAGAATAATTGTGATTTATTTTGTACCACTAAAATTATTTTTGTATAACATGAAGAGGCTATATACTAAAATTGTACATGTTACTAACCACATTTATTAATGTTAAAAACACTCGCAACTTAAAGGGTGTCTTATGGATGTCTGTTGAAATTTGTTTAGAATTGTACGTCCGGTATCAATTATAACGAAATTTAACCCTTACACCACTAAATATCTTAAATGGACTTGTCAACTTTCAGTCTTGACCAAACCATTAATATCATTGTAGGTAAAATTAAAAAACAAACAAAACAACAAATGTATTAAATAAAGAGGATGATTTTGGTTTTGCGCACTAGTTGTAATTGCCGCTTGTAGGCTAAGTTTTAAATATCACAGTGTAAAGGAAAATCCAGCAATCAGATTGTAAATATATTTTCTTATCAAATTTAATGTTACATAGATGTTTAAATTGGCCATTTACCAATATCGTGACGTGTCATGTTGCAGAATAAAGAAAATCTTAATATATGATAGACATAACTTATGAAACTTTAACTACATTTATTATAAAATCAGTTTACATGTATGAAAATCAAGTGTGAATTTAATATTGGCCTGCAGCTGTTCTCCATATTTTAATAAATTGACAAATGGTCAAATAATTAACCTTTCGTTAAATTTCGAGATTTATGTCACAATTTTGTCATTTAACTGGGCTAAGAGGAATACAAGAGTCCTTCCGTCACACTTTTGTTCTTCTATGCTTGTTTCGTAGAAGCTCATCTAACAGTTTGAGTAAATGATTTAGTTTTTGACTAATATGAATGCTCCTTACCCTTCATGTTTGATTAAACTGCCCGTTTTTATTCTTTCGTCTGTCCGGTTTGACCGAGTCAATGCGTGGCTTGAGTGTGTCCAGCTTGCAGCGGGGATGTGGCGTGGTTACATTTGACTAATACTTTCTTTAGACGTTAAATTTTAAACTAAAAATGGGCGAAATTTGAAGCTAACAGCAACTGCCCGGTAAAGTTTTTATGTTTAGAGTTATTGTCATTGATCACCGGATGTTAATAAATCTTCTCCTTTACTTGAATATTGTTCATTAAACAAACTCTACTGAGGTATAAAAGCATAAAATCACGGAGTTTCAATTTCTTACATAGATCAGCGGAGGCAGAAAGATATGCAAAATGCAATTAAGAAATATTCTCAGAAATAAATTGAAAATCGTATGTTTCTGCTATTCTTAGCCCAATATGAATGAAAAGCGGTGCAATGATTTTCAATTTTAGGTCATTTTTTTCACAGAACAGAACAAAGTTTTTTTCATAACTTGTACACACATAGGTACATCGTTACATCATGTTATCATTTTAGGTCACATTTTTTTCAATATAAAAAACAAAAACAAATGTAAAACACCAATCTAACATCTTATCTTACTTATTTGCATCAAAGAGATAGCCAAACCTACAATTTCGGCAAGCTTCGAGATTTCAGAGACATATACGTATATAAGTATATTGTATATGTATATTGATTTCAATGAGATTGCAAAATAGACATGTACTAAATACACCTCTAACATTAACCACACATGTCTGTTACGCGGTTAAAAAACCCTCTTGATGCACTTGAAAAAACAACAATTTCCAAATCGCTTCCCTGTATCGATTATCGATTTTGATACAAAATCCAATCAATACGCGAGATGAAACGTATATAGTGGCGTGTTCGTTCATTCGTTAACGTCATTTTCAAGCCTAAAACGCAAACCTCAAATAAAAAATATCTTAGTCATAATAGGGATAAAGTATAAAACATAGTTTAATGACATTTTAAGTTTAGAAATTAATTAAAAGAGCATTGAACTGGTAAGACATTGTTTTATTGTTAAATAATATTTTATTAAACTATACATCACATTTTATAAGTTTAAATTCACTGAACACTTTAATGCTTGTAACGTTTATAAAATATATGTACATAGCTGTTTTAAATTTATAAATTAATTTTCATTTTTCACACAAAAAATGAAAGATTTATGCAGTATAAAAATTTGTTAAAAAGATTTTTATAGGTTACTTGATCTTGTATATAAGCGTGTGTTTGCCATATAACTCTCACCTAGAGGCTTAAGTTATATAACCTACCAGTCGTTTATATGGACCATTTAGCCAGCCTGAATATTTGATATGATAATGTTATACTAAAAACAAACACGGTTCAAAACTTGAATGTGTGGAACCGTCTGTTTCCACAACAACAATGGTTGTACAAAAACCCTATAAATTTGCAGCATTATCTCTCTTTTACAGTGAAACGAAACAATGTTGCCAATTCTTGTCGTCTGTCTGCTTTTCCTCCAGTCTTCATCGGTAACTTGTTATGGTGCCAACGGTAAGGAGTTATAGATATATTGAATGTTGATACGTTGTTGAGAAAAGACCCATATTGCATTTTAAAGGGACTTCACTAAGGTGTTTTGACACGACGGGACTTGAAATAATTTTTCGAGACTTAATGTTCCATTTGGTGTAGGTCTAGACCAATCACTTGTGTGTTAAATTTCAGATCATTCGCTCATTCAGACTTTCTAGAATAATTATTCTAAGTGTGAAAAATGACAAAAAAGAAAAGAAAAGTGTTTGCAACGTTTTTTTTTTCAAACAATAACACAAAAATACGATTTTCACTTTAGTTCTGAGTATACTTTTAATTACCTTCACTCTAATCTGGCTAAGAATAGCAATAGTGTTACCCAAGTTGATCAGTGTAAGAAATTCAATTTTTTTTTTAGACTTTTGACCTCAGTGAAGTGCCTTTAAAATAACAAATTTAACCACTAACTGCATGAGTGTTAATTTTTTTTAGTAAAGTTATCAGTAACTAGATTTGATGTAGACATATTCTAATAAAATAGGCAAAAGCCTACCAGGCTCAGACTTTCTTGTATAATAAACATGCACATGTGTTAAATTCCGCCAAAGTTTTGAAATATTCGCTGTGCCTTTGCTTACCTGGCAATAATTAATATATCCGTTCCTTAAGTAGATATAGCTATTTTAGCTAATGTACTCTTGATGTAAACTAACGCCATAATTATATTTGATTTGTTTTTCCACAGCACAGCAACGTTTATGGGCAGGGCAAAACATGTATCCAGGTGCAATGGTTCCCATGATGCAACCTGAAGGTCTAGGTCATTACGAACGCTATGTTCCTTACCAACCATCACAGCTTCCCTGGGGAAATATGCGTATGCCAATGCCGTTCTATCACATACCGGGCTGTGATATTCCTTCCCACCAAAATATGCACATGATGCGTTCACCATTCATAAACGAAAACCAATTGACCGGAACTCCTTTCCAAGATCTAGGTCAGTGGCAGCAAGTAGAATTTCAAAATGGAATACAAGGTCAATGGAACCAACCAGCTATCAAAGACCAATGGAAGCAAACCCAAATACCAAATAAAGTAAATGACCAATGGCAGCAACCATTTCCTCATACCAAAGGTAACAACCAATTCAACCAAGCAGTATTCGAAAACCAAGGTAACAGTCAGTGGAAACAAGCATCATTTAACAATAACCAAGGTGGATGGAATCAACAGAATTTTAGAAACCAAGGTCAAGATCAATGGCAGCAGGCAAATAACTGGAATTTGGATCCGAATGTGAAAATGATTGGCCAATGGGATGCTTTTCCAGCAAATGATCAGATGCTTCGACAGCCAGCTGTAGCTGATTTGGCGCGAACAAGGACGGCAACTCGGGTAAGAACAGTTTCAAATACATTTAGCAGTCTTGTCCGGACTAAGAATTACATAAATTACTTATGCTGGCTTTTCAAAAATATTTAGCACATTAGATCGTTATTTACAACTTATACATGTGAAGCGAACCACATTTAAATGTACTTTTATGATGCTTTTAATGGAATCACAGTCTTATGGTATATAGACAGTTTGCTTTTACGGTTGGTTTTAGTTGGCGAAAAGCATTACAGTAAGACTACCTTAAACCATGGGCGTGACCTTCTTTTCAACATTACACCTTCGTAAATGTATGAGTCATACATACGTATATATAAATTAAGGGTATTTATTTAGTAGTTATCAATGCATTTATATTTCTTAGTACAAAATAATTATTAGAATGTACGGATAAAACATTGTAGTCAAAAGATGACTTAGAATAATGCCTGTTCTCGCTTGGTCATCTTAATTTACAGTATATTTATTATTTAATTTCAATATATTTTATAACCTTTCTGTAATATTTTCATTTTCAGTTTGATACGGTAAAACCAGTACAACCTGGCCCTCAAACATTTGGTTTTGAAAAGTTAGACGCACCAGTGCAGAGTAGAGGGCAGAGATAAAAAAGATATATAACAACACCCATCATGTCTTTCATAATTTATCGTCTGCTCATAAATATGGTTATAACAATGAATAAAGCATAATAATATAACGTAAAATTATCTTCTGTACATGATAATTATAGATGTAATGAATATGGAAATGTAAGAAAGATCGGCAATGTCAGCGTGATAGAATTTAAATACGATGATTCAAGATGTTATCAATATTAAATATTTAAAAATAAATATTCCGCAAACAAATTATATGTTTCTGTCCTTGTACATGTAATTTTGATACAGTACAAGTAAAAGTTGATGACGCTGGAAGACTGAGTGATCCATCTACATGTATTGTTTATTGTGGTTGAATTTCGCCTGATTTGAGGGGATGAATAAATGAAATCATGTATTCCAATTAATGTTAGCTAGTTATATAACTTGCGGATTTGAATAGTATATTGACACATGCAAACTGTTAATAGAATGTTATTTTATTCATATATATGTGATATAACATGGATATATGAAATCAAATGCTTGTTATGTTATTTCAGACACTGTAATCAATCACTTTTAACGTACTTAATTACCACATTTAAAAATACTGGCACACAGAGCAATGGTATTTAGAGTACAGTTCTATGACTTCTGGGGAGTACAACCGTATTATTCCAGTATTTTTAGTGTCTATTTTTTACGTAATGCATTTTTGGTTTTCTGACTTATACATGTCTAATTTCTTACAAGGAAAAATGTACGCTCAACCTCGCCCACTCAACATTTCTAAGTAATAACTCACACGTAAATATTTGTAAACAAAAACCAACACTCTCCCATCCGTGTCCCATCCGTGTCAGCCTTAAAGCTATATAATATGCATTCATGATTACATTTGGGTAGGAAGTTTAAATGTATAAAACATCCGTGTATATGTAAACAATATATCTGTCACTAAATATCAATCCTAAAACAAAGCCTGTGACTTGAAATTTGTGTTTGCTAGGAAACCATTCGTACTTTCGATGAGACGGTTATGATGGCGGTTTCCTTGCAATGCATATTTCAATACTATACTAATGCAGTCCTAAATAATACTAGTCTCTTAGACAATGATATAGATTGTATACAACTATTGTAAAAATAATATGTGAAATTTAAGATGGTATATGAAAAGTTGAAAAGAAAATGTGATTGTTTGGTAAATGTGAAAAAACTATGCTATCACAAGCACTTGTTTTTGCATAACTTTGGTAAGAAAGGATAAAAGTTTTCAACATATTTTTCAACATTTAAATGCACAAATAGGTGTGTCACATGATCTCAAACATGTCTGGTCATAGCTTGACCTTCAAACTCATCCTCGAGGACAATGACCTTCTCCTGCCTTGCCTCGTACTTGTCATCTTCAAATCTGGCTGACAACATGAAATCCCGGAACTTTCTTACTGATGTGTTTGATGCAAGCAAGTTATCGTACAATAGTCCGGCAATGACACCGCCAGTCAGAGGTCCGACCCAGTAAACCTGGTGAAATCAAGGGGAAAAAATGCAATAAAAATATTACTGTATAGAGATTGAAATATTGTCATTTTGTTTGATTTCTGTTTAAAAATAGAAAATAGTTTAACCGAAACAGTTATTGTGATGTAAATGCAAGTTTTTTGTGTTAAAGATATACATGTAGCTGCAAGTTTTTGTGTTATAAATGAAATATTTCAATAAACTACGTCATTACATCTCTTTTAAGTTATTATAAACGACCATTTTAAAGTGACATTTTTCTCATCTATTTGTTGTCAAGATGAGTTGAATTAGTCAAATATTTCAAAACATCGGCTATTATATTGGTGGTTAACCAACAATTGATAACAAAAATGTTATTGATACAATATAAAAACTGCTTAAATTATAAAGACTGCCCCATCCTTTTAAAGAATTGAACGTTTCCGAAACTTTCAGAACTATAATTACAGGAGCTTCCGTTATCAGATGGATAATTGATTATTTTTTCATCGTTCAATATAAATTGTAACACTATTATGGCAAAAAATCAAGGATTTTTGAGTTTTACCTGTTCATTGACCATTTACACCGAGATCATCAAAAGTAGTAGAAGATTTACCTAATTTTGTTTACACATATACTATATTTATTTTCATATTAAATTTATTAAAATACTGCTGCAAATCAAGGTTTGGTGCGTTTATTATAGTGGCAAATTGTTAATGACAAATATTTTTTTCTTCCATTATACCTCATTAAGTCATTTTGTAATTTTCTTTGTTTTTTTTAGGTTAAGCGATTCTTTTCTACCAGTTAAAATACATGAAATTAATATCGCTTATCATATAAATTAATATCTCAGAATTTCTTAAAACCACATTTACTTACTATGTTACCATTAAGCCAACAAGATAGACCTTCAGGGCAGGACCCTAGATAATGTTGGTATAACTTTTGGTCCAACCCTTTTGTTTGTACATTATATTCACGCTTAAGATATTGATGTTAGATTGTGTAAATTAATCATGTACAAAATATGCAATAAAATATTATTAAACTAAATTTACACCGAGATAAGCATAAAAATGTCACTTTTATCAAGAAAGTATAATCATATGATATGAATTGTTATGAGATGAAATGATATGAATGAAATGTCTAAAACATACCCAGTGGTCATCCCAAATCTCCATAGCTACAGCGGGTCCTAGACTCCGCGCAGGGTTCATACTAGAACCACAAAACTCAACCTACCAAATGAAAGCAAGTATTAGTTTATACAAAGTTATTTTTTTCGTTTATGTTGGAAGCTAGCTATACGCTATTGTAACAATCTCGAATTTGTTCCTGGAACCAACCAGTATTAAGCAATGAAAGTAACGTTTTTTACTCATGGGAAGAACTGCTTGCCCTTGACGGGGTTTGAACAAATGCGGCCAGCATTCCTTAGATTACTAGTTCGATGCGTGAACCACTCAGACACTGTGTAATAATGTCTTCGTATCTATTCTCCACGTTGCGCTAGTATCGTTAGAAAGAAAAAGCATAAGAATGTAAAACATCCGATTCATCAACTCGTTTCATTCATTTGGTCACTTGGATGAAGGTCAATCATTTTGTTCTGTATCATATAGAAGACAATGCTGCCCTTCTCGTAATTCGAAAAAGTTGATGAAAATCTTATCGTTTTTGAAAAATAAATACGACGTTTACATTAAATCTTGTGATGATTTACCTGACATTAGCAAGCCAGATAACTCAAAGGTACGGATTAGGATATATTACAAAATGTATTTACATGCTACTTGAAACTTTGTGTTATCTATATTATTTATTTTTCAATGAGCCACTTTAAACTGGTGTACGTTTACTCCAATTCATATACATATGCATTTATTTAAGTCCCTACGCTATGGAATGTGGACTTACTCTGACTTACTTTTAAGCATACATTTATCTACCAATGTAATTTATAATTACAAAGATTTCGAACCATCTAAGCAACACTGTAAGTTATTTCACCGTAACCCCGACAACAATTCTTGCAGATGCATCTAAAGTAATTCATAAAGTGGTCTCTAACCAAAATAAGAATGGTATGAGGTTTAATAAAGTAATAAAGCCACTTTCATGTATCGAATGTAAACAATGTCGTATGTCAAATGGTTATTACATAGTTGTTATTCTAGGGTACCATATATTTGGTATGCATTTATACACCTTTATGACTGAAAATGTCCGCTTTATGTTCTTAGGGTATTTCTTACAGGTTCTGGAATTTAGTTTACAAGTGTATTGAAAATTTAGAATATCTTATCTAAAACATTGCTTTCAATAACTTTTTTGATTTGAGCTATGGACTTAGCTGTAGTTAAAATTTAAATATTAAATTCTGTTTAAGCCGGTGCCAGGGTACGTGGACGGTAACTTACACTTTTATGTACCGTCCATGAACAGGGTCAATCAAACCGAGCCTGCAACATTTTCAATTTTTGTCGTTGTGGGCGTTCTTCATGTACATGTATTACGTGTTTTCTCTATTTTAAATATATAATCTTTGCGAACAGTCGTTTTGAAAAACTAACATTCATTGAATGGGTACATTTGTAGGATACCAAGTGTGTCTTAAAATCTCATTTAAATAAATGTGTTATTTTATCGTTTCAATGTACTCGCCAAATTACAAATAGACTATACTTACTGCCCAAAGATGCCCCATAGTCACCGACAAGCCAATTTGGAGCGGGAAGCTACCAGCATGGTCGGTTCTTTTGCTGTCACATGTTGCAAACACTGTTAGTACCAGAAACATTGTTATACACAATTCTATACCAAAACCCATTGCTGGGGACACTCCTGCATTTAAAGTTGTAGTTCCTAGACCGCCTCGAAGACCTGGAGGTGTTAGCGCCTTGAGTAACCCTGCTGCGGCTATTGATCCTACACACTGACAAATCATGTACATAATTGCACGGATCAAACTAATACGACGTGTCACTAACATGCCTATTGTCACGGCCGGATTAATATGGCCCCCGCTTATATGTCCAATTATCCAAACCGATGTGGATACGGCTAAACCAAAGGTGAGAGCTACCTGAACAACATCAAGGGGATCAACTATGCCTGAATTCCACCCTTGTACCGTTGAACCAACGGCCACGATTACAAGTATGAATGTTCCTAGAAACTCGGCGAACAAAGCGCGCCAAAACTGCAAGGAACGCATGTCTTCTATGCTCGTCTGCATCCTGCAAAGATATGCGCAGCCGCCGCTTTCGTCTTCAGAACTAGATCGCGAGACGTTCGATTTTAGCTTATTCGACATTTGGCCCTTAAAACTGCTGCCCTATTCTCCTGTAATAAAATTATTACCTCTATATATACAATATTTAAACAAAATTTTATACTGAGACTTCTCAAGATAATCAATTTATAAATAATTTAAACAAAAGCCAAAGATTACAAAGATTTAAATATACATATAGTATAGCCTAAATACTTTGAACATTTTGGCTAACAAATTGTACAATATATAGTAAAGTCACTCAAATAACTTTAGAAATAAATAACAGAGCCCTAAAACAAACGTTTTTATCGATTTCCTGCTAAAAAACAACTGTGAAATGCATTGTCACCTCGTGTATGAATTTATAGTCAGTTTTCACTCATCTTCCCAATACGGAACAGCATAAATTAAATGTAAGAACGGAAATAAGGATGACATACAGATTCTTTGTTTATTTTGAGCAATTTCTATGATCTATCAACATAACCCTGGTGATATTTAGTGGTTAATGTCAAAGATATTCACTAACTTGCCTCATCAGCTAGCTATTAAGTGAACGCGTTTGAAGCTGTGCCAAGATGTAATTGTTTGGAAAAGTCAAGGGCAATGTCACGCGAGACTTTCATAATTATTTATCGGGGAGTTTTAGGTGGAAGTTAGGTACAATTAGAATAATTTCTAAGAGATTGCAAGATACATTGTATACGCATTCAGATTTAATGATGCCAATGTAAGAAAGACGTTAAATATAACATATACTTATACAATATAGTGTATATGTATAGCTATAGTATGTAGGTAAACATAATAATTAAATAAAATTATATTATCCATCAGATTCTGATGATTTTCTTTTCTCATTGAGTCCTTATACATACATGTTTACACCGTAAATGCACTAAGGAAAAGCATAAAAGGTAATCAAAAAATCCAAATAAAGCTTTTAATTATAGCGCTGAAATATTCAGGACTTTGCGAGTTTTAATTTACCGCAGTAATTACTGATTAAAGAACATGCATAATTATGCATGCATTTTGAAATCTATATTTAATGATATTTAAATAAAGCATTTAAATATATATAATAATTATCAAGTTTAAAATAGTTTCAAGTTGTGTCCACCTAATGTGCAATTAAAGAATTTAAAAAAAAAGTCATACTTAACAATGATTCTCAGTCAAAAATCAATGAATTCCATTAAATAATTGCACAGTTACAGATAATTACACTCTTGCTTCTTGCATGAAACTTATTTACACGGGTTAACAATATGTGTATGTCTTTAACATGAACAAGTTCATGTAAAAAAGGACAATGGTTATATTTCAATGATGTTTTTGAACATCTTATTGCGTTTTTTCTTCATTTTAACAAAGATTAACCAGCAAGACGTACTTTGTTAACCCTCACTGAACTATAGTATCTAATAATCCGGTAGCTAGTCCAGTATCTAGAGCGGACTATTACTGCAGAATCATCATGAAATAAATTTGTGAATCAGTGAACGCTAAATTACATTATATGATGTAGCAGATTGTACTGGAAAAGAATCATTTAAATATCACAGTTGTATTTGCTGACACATTTTTTTTTCAAATGAAGCAGTGGAGAGAAGAGCTCAAAAAGTAAAACGTATTCCTTAAATGTCACTTGACCAATCGCCAACGAATAAAAGCAAACATCGTCCAGGGCAAACTGACTATTGCAAACATTGTTTTTGTATAATATAACATAAAAAATAACATATAATTATGTAGGTTGATTATTTAACTGATGTTTAGTTACAGTGTAATTAAGTTCAATGTTCAAAGTTTTTTGGCATTCAATAAAGCATCTGCCTTTTGCCATTTACCATATATCATTATAGATAAAAAGACTAAACGTGTTATATTATAACAAACGAATGAACGAACGAACGAATCAACGGACAAAAAAACGAAAGAAACAATTAAACACACAAACAAACAATTAAACAAACAAAACTAACACACCAAACAAACAAGTATAAGTGCAATGTTTTATGATGATAATCACTTTCAGCAAACGTGTATTTATAATTCATGAGTATTTGTACTACAATTTATATGATAATACAATTGGGACACAAAAATACATTTTAGCTTTAAATTACATGAAATTGGGGCCATATATTTGACCAATTGCAGTGATATGTCTGACGTCCATAGCTGATTAGCATATGTGCCAGACTTACTGAAATCTCACACCAACATCGCCAATACTACAAAGAATATTGAATGGCACTGCAGTACATATCACTCGTACATCAACAGAATGCAATAGCGTAGAAAAATCAAGTTGTCCTTTTTTAATAAAAAAAAACGTTATATTATGAATCAGGTATTGACAAGTTAATATCTATGTAGAAAATAAAGCAAATATCCTATAAAATGTACTTACAAACTAATAAAAGGTAATCCGTCCTTAAATCGGTGGAGAGTTTGCTTGTGTAATGTAATTGTACATTAAGATAAATGTATTATATATAAAATGATATGCTGACAAAACACACTTGTTCTGTAATCTTCCACTTTAAAGGTCTTCTGCACTAGTATGCATTTAGTAAATCTAGATACATAATAGTTTTAATAGATAAAATATAAAAAAAAAATAGGTTCACTTCTGATAAGTTTATTTTATGCTAGCGCTTTCAATGTTGCATACATATCTCCAGACAGTAACGTATAATATCATTATCATAACAAGTATAAAAATGACGTAACGTTGTAAAGTGCGAGAAACGTCAAAATACGACGTTGCGCGGCATATGAAATATTCATAATATCACATGTATTGAACTATACGAAATATGCGTATAAAAAACTTCTATTAAAGGTAGGACATTTTATTTCAGAACTATCCTTTATATTCCATTTTATTATGGCAACAGCTGTCCACTTGACTTTATTTTTTTAACTACCCTTAAAACTTCATTTTAGAATGACAAGAATTATCCTTTACATTTTATTTAGAATGGCCAAAAAAAAATACTTCTTATATTCAATTCTTCTCTGTAAAATTTACAGGAAGTCAAACTGATTTTAGACGAGGCTTCGGCCGAAAAAAAAGCATAACAAAAGATATTAATGGAATAATATAATTATTTTATCTCGACAATCCTCACCACATGAATTCTTAAATGAAACACATCTTTGTATTATAGACAATAGGTAGTTGCATAAAAAAGTTCTGAGGAATGTTCATCAATTACTGTATCAGGGCTTGATTCATTCTGGTATCAGTAGTCGTCCACGATTTCAACGCTCTCTGCTCTTGCCAATGGGCCTATTCACCTCATCCAATGATGTTGTTTAAAATGACAATTAGAGTTACATTTTAAATGAATATTGCATGCTTTCTAACAAAGATCTTTCTGTTAATAACAATATTAACAATTCATGATTTGTGATTTCGTGTCTGATTTTTTAATAGATTGTCTGCATTTCGAAGGCAAGCGTACTTTTGGAGTTGCATGCAAATCATTACACGTTTCAAAGATATATATTTTTTCAGCATTGCTAACTAAACATTTATAATATATATTATTCAACTTAACATTTTCGCTCACATTACTTTCCTCTCGTACTCGCAAAAAGAAAGAATTCACTTATATTCCACTGTAGAACTGTTCATATGTCATGAAAAATGCCTTTTTTTAAATAATGTTTAGAAAGTTGTCAAATCAATCTTTGTAAAATTTGAGAACGATACAAAAAAGGAAAAATGATTTATAATGTTCCATTAGAAGTGATTTTCTGTGTAAAGCCATTAATATTTATGAGCCTACCTGCCTTTAAGTCCAACTTGCTTGCAGAAGATCCAATTGGTAATAATAAAGAAGTTATGACTGTTCTCACTATATGTTGTGATAGGGATGGGTTTTTTGTCAACTAGAGTATATTTTACTTGCTTCACACTTCAGTAATGTCTGACCGTTACCCAGAACAAAAATTATGCCACTGCGAGGTATGCATATTTCATTGACTAGAACGGAATGTCGACCTTCCTTCATTTAGAAATTAGACGACCACAACAACCTTTTGTTTAAACGTATAATATTATATAACCTACTATATAGTAGATTCACAGAAAAAGTCTGACTTTTGCATCTCCGATCTTTTTGTTTACATATCATATTTTTGTGTAAAAGATCAATAATTATTGCAATACAGTTGAGCAAAGCAGACGATACAACATATTTATGATGTATGAAAGCTAAAAAAAATCTCTTATTTTCTGTTATTGTTTCCTACATTCTCTGCACTTTAAAGGGGCGATTTTATGTCTGTAGCATACGATGTTCCGTTTTTGTAAACAATTGTGGACTTCAATTCGAGCTGGCGCATTGATTTGTATTGTTACTTTCCCGGATGATGAAATCTGGCATAGTATTCCAATCGTCATGAGCTATTCTTCAAAACAACAATTTACATGTATAATCTAGAAAATAAAATCTAATCTATCTTTCGGTACAGTTGGATCTAAACTTGTCTCTCGTAACAAAATAATATCTCGCATATCTTCCTTTACAAATGCATCTTGCAAATCTTAATTAAAGTATTTATATTCTGTGCAACAGCCGTTCAAATGATGATGGAGTATTGCAAAACATTGAATATATTCATATAATTATGTTGTTTGCAGTAACAATCCGTTTTAAATGCTTTATAAATGTTGCAGGTGAATTGTCGTATATATGAACATTTATTGTCGGTACATTTAAACGCAACAATTACATGACTGACTTTACTATTTCCTGTTATACCTTTGAATCAAACATCTCTAATACGTCTTTCGCGTGGCATGAAATGTTGCAGTACATGGACAAACAGAAGATTTGCTGGCATAAGTGAAGATACACGAGAAAATAACAAACTGTGACAAGTAAATGGTTGTTATAAAAATAATATCTATTGAAATTTTCGACCATGCGACCACATACACACATCAAAGGACTCCCCCTTTTCCCACAAAAAAGGGACAAGGAGCTATCCGCCCTTTTGAAAAAGGCCAGACCTTTAAAGTGTGACACATAACTCAATTCTCAATCTACGAATACAATAAGAGTATATCTTTTCTATTTCAGTTGTTATTTAAAATGAGAAAGTCCCTCTGGGACAAGGTTGTCACCTTACAGCAAACTTTTTTTCCACCAAATTAACTTTAGATTCTCTCACAATACATGACGAAAATCTGGTAAAGAAACAATGAAAACAACTTTATTTTATGAAAATTGCAGACTTGCGTTGATTCTATTCATTAGATATGATATAACGCGCTACATCTCTCAAGCCTCCTAGCACCGGTTTATGCGGTATTCAATCTTCAACACATAATTTGCACTCAATAACCTCGAAGGGCCAGAAAATATAACAATTCTGAAGTGAGCACGGGGCAACTTTTTACACTGCTACACGGCACTTGACACCTGATGTTGTGAAGTATAAAACTCTAGAAAAGGGGTATTTCTTATATACGACAGTAATGTCCTCAAGATCTATACAGTACAAGATAAACTAAATATTACTCAAGTGTTTTAGGAGGGTTATTACAAATGTTTGCCTTTACTATAAAAATCATGTACAAAAACCAAGTACAATTTAAGAAAAGCTATGTACAGTCGTTTGACTCGTTTTTGTTTTTTTTTTAATTTACCAGCCGTCGTATTTTCCTTATAACATCAATCATCTGTTGTAAACAATACATCGTTAAAGTGATAGGTATAATAATTATATATTAATGTATGAATTTTCGAATAAATCAAGTATTGTTTGTTTTATTACAGCAGCGTCACTTACTTTCCAGAAGAAATGTTTTAACATAACGTGTTGTTATAACACTGTGCTAATAAGGACACACAAATAAACATCGCACGAACGAAATGTTAATTTAATGTCACTGTTCACAAAATTTACAACAAATGTCCCTATTTATTTATTTGTATATTTGAAACATTGCAATTGTATATTTCAATTATTATATAGATCTGTATATTCTCAGAACAGGTATATTTTGCGAAACTATTATTTCTCTTTTTTCTGTTGTTCTTTTTTTTTTTTTTTTTTTGCGCGAAACGGTATTTATCAATCTATTTTCTGTAGAACCTATTATAACGAACTTAATCTAACAATTGTAATAAAATCAGTATTTCTGAAAATTAAACATTGCATATTTTTAGAAGTTATGCCTAACTTGTGTGTACCAGAGCAAAATCTAGTACATTTGTACCTCATGCAACAATTTCTATGTCGTCATATTGCGTTTCATCCTTTTATTTTGTTCGCGTATTCTTTAATGATATTATCATCATTCTTATACAGAAAAGACAGGTATGCATTATTGAACATACCAATGGCTCATGAATTTGAATTTTTTATATAAGATAATATAGTAGATTCTAAAATAAAAAGTCTTAAACAATGAAAATTTAGGTTTTACTGCTTATAAAATTTGTATCATATATATAACATATCCAGAAGGACCACAAAGTACACGCATAATTATAATAAAACAAGAGGGCCATGATGGCCCTGAAATCGCTCACCCCGGAGCGGGTCCAGTTTAAACCCCAGGGCTTTTATTTGAACAAACTTGGTAGACACCCATTAGAAGATGTTTCATGCTAAACATCTAAGGTCTAGCTTGTTGGGTTTTTTAAAAGAAGATTTTTTAAGTTTTTTCTTTACACATATATTTAAAAACAATTACACCCCTAGAGCAGGGCCAGTTTTGACCCCAGGGCTTTTATTTGTACAATCTTTGTAGGCACTTACTAGAAGATGTTTCATGCTTAATATCTACACTCTAGCTATTCGGGTTTTTTCGAAGAAGATTTTTAAGTTTTTGCTGTACACATATAAGGAAAATCAATGTCCCCCGGGGCGGGGCCAATTTTGACCCCAGGGCTCTTATTTGAACAAACTTGGTAGACATCCATTAAAACATGTTTCATGCTAAATATGTTAGCTCTAGCTCTTTGGGTTCTTTAAAAGAAGATTTTTAAGTTTTTACTATATTCATATAGGGAAAATCAATGACCCCCTGGGGCGGGGCCAATTTTGACCCCAGGGCTCTTATTTTCACAAACTTGGTAGACATCCATTAAAACATGTTTCATGCTAAACATCTAAGCTCTAGCTCTTTGGGTTCTTTAAAAGAAGATTTTTAAGTTTTTACTATAATGTATATAGGAAAAATCAATGACCCCCTGGGGCGGAGCCAATTTTGACCCCAGAGCTTTTATTTGAACAAACTTGGTAGACACCCATTAGAACATGTTTCATGCTAAATATCTTAGCTCTAGCTCTTTGGGTTCTTTAAAAGATGATTTTTTAAAGTTTTTTCTTTATACATATAGGGAAAATCAATGACCCCCTGGGGCGGGGCCAATTTTGACCCCAGGGCTTTTATTTGAACAAACTTGGTAGACACTCACTAGAAGATGTTTCATGCCAGATATCTAAGCTCTAGCTCTTTGGGATTTTTAGAAGAAGATATTTTAAGTTTTTTCTTTTGGTTGCCATGGCAACCAGAGTTCTGCATGGAATTAAATTCTTTGAACAATTTTCAAAGGTGACCACCAAAGGAACATTCCTGTGAAGTTTGGATGAAATTGGCTTAGTGGTTTATGAGGAGATGTCATTTAAAGTAAAAGTTTACGGACGACGGACGCCGGACGGACGCCGGACGAAAAGCGATCACAAAAGCTCACCCTGTCACAAAGTGACAAGTGAGCTAAAAATCTAGCAAGAGCTGTACACAAACACAACAACTGTCAGAATATTCTACTCACTAAATACATATTGCTACTGATTTACATCAAAAACACATTTTATACAATTGATAACTTCCATGAACACATAGATGCGATGTCGAAAAATAACATATGAGCCGCGTCATGACAAAACCAACGTAATGCGTTTGCGACCAGCATGGATCCAGACCAGCCTGCGCATCTGCGCAGTCTGATCAGGATCCATGCTGTTCGCTTACAAACACTATTACAAGTATAGAGAAACTGATAGCGAACAGCATGGATCCTGATCAGACTTCGCGGATGCGCAGGCTGGTCTGAATCCATGCTGGTCGCAAACGCATTACGTTGGTTTTGTCGTGACGCGGCTCATATAATATATATTTCGTCACACACAATAATCTAATCTCATATCAACGTTCCATATTAGTTCATCTCGTCTCCTTTTTAAGCCTCTTTGAAAAAAGGTACTATATCTATAATCAAAATCTGAGTATATTTCATATACATTGTATTATATAATGTATCTATACCTAAATAACATACTGTACAAAGTTTAATGTGAATATGATGCATTTATTGATACATATCTATATGTAGCAAGAATTAATTTACATAATGTTTGTATAAATTCTTGTAAATTGATTATAAAGTTCTCTTCGATTCTGAACAACTTTGGTAAAGCAAAATAGTTTAAAAGTACAGCAAACTTAAAGCGAAACTTTTAATACACTGATCTACAGATCTTCTTTCATACGTTCTGAGTCATCGCCTGACTCTCCGATTCATCATCAAGAACTTGAATCTTAGTTTTCCTCGCCGGGTATTTCTCGTCGTCAAATTGTGCCGACAGCATAAAATCTCGAGCCTTCCTCACCGACGAGTTCGATGCCAGCAGGTTGTCATACATCAGTCCGGCAATCACACCGCCCGTCATTGGCCCGACCCAATAGATCTGGAAGAAATAATTTTGCAATTTGAATTGGCATTTCGTTGATTGTAACAGTAACAATGAAACAATATCAAAATGAGAATAGATAATGATTGATAAATATGCCATATTCGAAAGGGTAACGAATCAATTTTATTTATAAAATCTCTTGTACAACAATAGATTTAACATCGTATGTAACAGCTGATGGCTGTACTAAAGCATTTATTTCTTTGAAGCCGTTTCTATGGCAACATCTGTAAGCAAAGTGATTCTGTTAAGTGCAACATACTTACAGCACCATAATACTGCACGTTGACTCAAATACTTAGTACGTTAATGAAATTACCAATATTTACAAAGTTCAAATGTGAAAACAGCTTACCCAGTGATCGCTCCAAATGTTCATAACAACGGCTGGTCCTAGACTTCTTGCGGGGTTCATGCTAGAGCCACAAAACTCAACCTAAAATTGTACATTGAACACCATTTCTAACAATATCATTTACTAATTTTTATTTAAGACTACGACATCCATCAGTATGTGGACAAGTTTGTCTGAAATATGACATTGACCACTACATGACATGTAATTCAGTGAAGAATTTCAGACAGCATTGTGCCTTATGTCTATGACAAACCTATATGCAAGATTTCCATTTTTATTCGCTAAAATTTAACATCTAAATTATATAAACATTTAGTGTCAAATACCTTATGTTCAGATTTTTATAATCAATCTGGTGCCGCTTGTACATTTTGATGACACTGTCATTCAAGGTCCAAATTCCTAAATCTATGGCATGTCTTTTTTTTCCGAAGAATTTTAGGAAGACATAATGATTTATATAACCTTGAATCAAATCATCATGCGCATTGAATATCTTTTCCCCCCAAAAAAAACTTTTGTTTGCAATTCAAATTCATCGTTTGCGTTCGAAATTTATTAATAGGACAATTAAAATAACAGTTAACTCATTTGTAAAAAATGAACTTATAACAAGACAAATATATGCATGTCCATTGCCCCGAAGACTCAACTTTAGTGACAAAATATGATAGTATCTAAACAAGAGAAGAATGTTGATATATGAAGAACGGGGTCGCTTTCATGTGTAAAATATTTACAAAACCATGTGTCTTTTGAACTACACATACATTTAGTGCTTAGACCCAAAACAATTCTGATCTATTTTTGTTAAGATTTATGAATGAAGTGGTCGATAAGAATTTACGAGCAAAGGAATTTACTAGTACGTTATGTGAAAAAAAAATCTAAAATCATTATCATTTACAATGTATCATATTTTTTTTGTTCATTGCAACTTCATTTATGACAAAAGTCAATTAAGTATAGAGATACTTGATAAAACCAAATAAATATATACAGAAAAGACGTTATTATTAAACCTACCGCCCAGAGATGCCCCATGGTCACCGACAATCCAATTTGGAGTGGAAAGCTGCCGGCGTGGTCTGTTCTTTTGCTGTCACATGTTGCAAACACTGTCAGTACCAGGAACATTGTTATACACAATTCTATACCAAAACCCATTGCTGGAGAAACTCCCGCATTTAAAGTTGTAGTTCCTAGACCGCCTCGAAGACCTGGAGGTGTTAGCGCCTTTAGTAACCCCGCTGCGGCTATTGACCCAACACACTGACAAATCATGTACATGATTGCACGGATCAAACTAATACGACGTGTAACTAACATGGCTATTGTCACGGCTGGATTAATATGGCCCCCACTCAAATGTCCAACTATCCAAACCGATGTGGATACGGCTAAACCAAAGGTGAGAGCTATCTGAACAACATCAAGGGCATCGTCTATGCCTGAATTCCATCCTTGTACCGTTGAACCCAGTGATACTATTACAAGTATAAATGTCCCGATAAATTCGGCTGCCAAAGCCCGCCAAAACTGCAACGAACGGACATCGTCTATGCTGGTCTTCATCCTGAAAGTCTCGATACAACTAGTGCTTTCTTCGTCAGAATCAGTAAAAATGACAGGTTTTACGGTGACCTTATTCGTCATCTGGTCGAAGACACTGACCTGAACTGAAAAGTAACAAGATAATCTTTACATGTGCAATTTCTTCAAAGCCGAGTTTGTACATTTTACTAACATGAGTAGCATATTGGTTGGTGAGATAACTCCGACACATAGATAAACCCCACACTTGATAAATACTTTTGATGTAATTTTGGTTTTTAACAAACAAGCACATGGTCACCTAGTACTATAGGGCCATGACAAAATGTGCTGATATTTTCTTAATTTTGAAAACTTTTTAATCTATGTCCAATTATCAAAAAAGCTGTCCACAAACACTAAAAGTCTACAAAAAGGCAGTTAGAACTGTTTTGACCACTGGCCACTCAGTTTCAATTTGGAAAGAATAATTTTTTGGAGTAACGTTAGATATTTTAACCGAGCCTTGTTTAGGCGGATCAATATCAATAAAGATAAAAATAACCTATGTGATTCAGTGTCGAGTTATCTCTGCAACCAATACAGAATCTGTAGCTGAATGCATTTGACATGTGCAGAAATATACATTTTTTTTCTGCCGAGAAGCCGCGAATACCCGTCCCACTCACCACCTATTTTCCAACAAAATTAGTGATCATCGGTAAACCACGTGTTTGGATTTGAAAAGTGGTTTTACTTTATTGACTTTTTAATGAATTTTATAATAATTTTGTCTGAGGTTGGAACAAATCATTTTATTTTAATTTCGTTTGCCTCCTTGTGAGAATATAAAATTATATTTCAAACACATTAAGTGAAAAAATTATAGTTTTAATCTGATAAACACGAAGTCAAGCAATGTTTCAATCAAATACACAATAACTAAATAACTACAGTTCCGCTAGAGTTGCGGTAGCAAATGGCTATGTGATTTCACCAACTTTCAGTCACATTTTTTTTCCATATAATAAATTTTAAATGTTAAACTAGTTCATTTCAATTCAAAATTTGTCACTAATGTATCTCTCGAAAGATGCTGTCTGCATGCACGAATTAATTAAACTCAGATAAGACAAATAACATCAACACTTTATGAGGTAATTAATGCTATTATAATGGATGAGTTAATTATTTCAAAACAGTTATTTATGTTCCGTGCAATTTTGTTCTTTTTTTGTTGTTGTTTTTTCAAAAGTCTGTTAGAAAGAAGGGTAACGCTATCAAAAAATTATTCTGTTCTGCTGCAGTGACTATTATCATGTTTTATTGTTTAGAAAAGACTTACACATAATATTAATAATGAAACATACGTAAATAAATAATAACAAAAATAACCACAGCATTTAATCAGCATTAAGCAAACAAAATATTAACGTCGCTGGAAAATTGGACTGTTTTATGAATTTAGAATTATTTTTCTAGCTACTCGACGTCAAACACAATTTTAATATACAGTCAAACCTTATGCTCGAAGAAACGGAAGTGTTGGATTCTAATAACAGGTTATTCTGTATTGTTAAGCACCGAAACTGATATATAGAGGATATTAAATGAGTGTCAGTTCAATACTGAATTTATTGCACGAGTTGAATACAATTTTATTATGCGAGCCTCTGGCGAGCATAATATTATTTCATTCAACGAGTGCAATAAATTCAGTAATGAACTTACGCGAATTTAATATTCTATTTATCACATACCCAAAATAAAGGCCGTTTAAAGATCCTGTAACACAATTTTTTCATGGTTTTATTTCATAAATATGATGCTCAAATTAAGATTTGTCAATATTGTAAGTTCCAATAAGCATTATTTATAAAGATATTACCCAATTTAACATTTCATGTAAATAAAGGGAGGTAATTAGAAATTTATTTTCTATAAATTTTAAGTTAAGTCAAATTTTCAAATAAGAAATGAATGCCTGTAATTTATTGATTAAATATAATGTGCACAAATATTTGCAGTACACATTTTACATATTCTTCGATGTTTGAAAATTGTTTTATTTGCATAAATATGTACATATATATTTTTTGCTAGTGTGGTATTCACACAGTAAAAATATGAATCACAAAACATACAGGATCTTTAAAGTGAAATAAGAGTCATTTTTCATTGACGCGCCTATAGTATAACGCTCACATTTAGCACGTCTTTACTCTTTGTTTGTATAACGCTAATGACTTCACGTCAAAATATATGCACGGCCGTGCAATACCATATTTACGGAGTCGCAAAATCGGCACGGTCGTGTGATAAATATGTATAAAATGGCAACAGGTTTTCTATTTTCCGAAAGGGGTCTTTCAGACAGGGGTTGGCTGTAACAAGATAATTTTGAACAAATACTTTTTTAGATTTAGAATGTTCACTAGGTTTTTTTTATCTTTACTTACGTTATTGATTACTTGATAATAAATTGCCAAGGGTGTTAAAATTTAACACCTTTGTTTTTCATCAATTTTTAAAAAAGAATGTCAAGTGAGCACAAGACATTTTTACGTTGCGTGGTATTTTAACATAGTATTATAAAAAACTGTTATGATACATTTGAAATGACTCTCATATTAACGTTAAAGTGTGTGTATTGCACAAGAAGATATAATATTATCTCTAACTCATTGATTACTTCTGATTATATCATTTCGTCGCGCAGTTAAATCTTCTTCAGTATATGCGTTTATAAGTTGAGTCGTGTCACGACAAAACCAACATAATGGGTTTGCGACCAGCATGGATCCAGACCAGCCTGCGTATCCGCGCAGTCTGATCAGGATCCATGCTGTTCGATATCAGATCCTCTACTTGTTATAGGGTTTGTAAGCGAGCAGCATGGATCCTGATCAGACTGCGCGGATGCGCAGGCTGGTCTGGATCCATGCTGGTCGCAAACCCATTATGTTGGTTTTGTCGTGAGGCGGCTCAGTTGTTGAAATAAAATATTTGTGATATATGTACATGCTTTTTGTGTGCATATTGCACACTAGCAAAAAATGTTTTGAATTGCATCAATTTAAATATTTGCGAGAATGAAAATGAAAATGTTATTATAAAAAAGATCAGGATATCCTTTTGAAATTGAAATGTTTTGAAATATGAAATGTTTGCTCAATAATATAACCTATACTAGTATATACTTTATCGTCCTTTATGCAATCTGATATTATATTGGGAATATTTAGTTTAGTACAACTTGTTTTAAACATTGATACTCGTGAAGTATCTGACAGGGCTGCAACAAAATCAAAAGTTATTTTTCAATCTAATCAAAGGAAGCAACTATGCAATGTTATAAATTCATTATAAAGAATTCCGACCAATATGTTTTTTTTTTAAATAAAATATATACAATCGTCTTGTGGCTCGGCTCACAAGTTTACAACCGTTTATGCTATGTAACCTGTCAAAGTCTATATAACTATTAGTATAGACATTGTGGGGCTATATTATTTACTTGTGATCGAACAGGTATAAAACAGATATCAATCTTACTTCGACTTGACTTTTTTATTTTAACGTTTATACAACAGTTAAGATTGAGTTTACCATCAAAGATAATTATATCTTTAAACACATTTTATTGTCGGAGGGTGTCAAACTTGTTTTTTTTTTATGTTAAGTATATTATTTACAATTCGAACGTATCAATTTAATCTTTTTTTATAAATGTCACCTCCGAAATTAAGGTCACCTCCAAATAAATAACACCTCCGGATACAGGACATAAACACTGTAGTAGAAAATAGACGTATTAAAACGACTGAAACGTTTGTTTTGTTGTTGTTGTTTTTTTTTTCGGATCCACCCACATTTCCTTCTTATTTATTTCTTTGGACAGGCATAGTTATAAAGATGAAAAATACAAATACATATGCAACAAAAGCCATAAGCGCATTTCTTTTAGATATAAATGTATTTTTGTCTCATATCAGAAAAAAATAATGTCATGATTTATGAGCGAAAATTGTTGATTATAACATGCTGTGAAAAAATAAAATGAAATAAAAAAATCGTAAAAATTGAATAAAAAATTTATATCAAATATAATAAAAAACAACTTGAGTAAAAATGTTAGTGGCGCGTGTGCGTTCTTTATAGATTATACATGTTTGCAATCTCCGTCAAAAACTTTCACGTATTTGTCTTTAACAAATGGTCAATATATAAATCATAAGTTTGGAAAAAGTCCTTAAGGTCATACAAATGTTACTATACTCGTAGTTCAAAGGTTGCCGCGTTCTTTATTACAGTAATACAGTTTTATACTAGAAGATTGGGTTCCCTGTGTCTTGACAGTTATTATCGATGATTGTTCGTTTTTAAAACAAAGGTCAAACGACCATATTATAATGTCACACAAAAGGAACTCCAAAACAAGTAATTTATATTTCAACAAGTGCGTCATGACGTACATATGTACGTTATGAGGGCGAAATGACATGAAGAAATTTGTCAATCAAAAACAACATGACAGCAACATAGTTGATAAGTAAAGTCACTATTTCTATTTATAAAATAATCAAAAGTGACACGCGTGAAGATGTTGTTTTTTTTTCCTATTGTTGATCTTAATTGAAAAAAAAATGGAATTCTTTTTCAATTATTGTAATTGAACAGAGTATTCTTTTAAATACGCTTTTCATAGCTATGTAACCAATTTATTAATACCAAAAACATATGTAAATCTGTATTATAATGTTAAGTGGCGAGTGCAAAATTATTATAATGGAAAGTGGCGAGTGAAAAATTAGTATGAAGATCACGCATGTACAATGGTGAAAAAAGTGCCAGATTTTTATCAAATTTTACTCATTCTCACAGTCGCACGGTGTTTTGTTTAACCGCCTATATCCAGAATAATCTTATAATTTTATGTTGGATATCTATTTATAAATATATACTTGTTTTGAACTGACAACGTGGACGTAGAACGTTAGGGAAATAAAAGTAAACTCCATTATTATTGACAAGAACTGACTCATGTATGCCGAAGGACCACGAAAGGCGTCGTTTATCATTATGATAGTACGAACGTATTCAAAACATGTATACAATATATAAGTAAAAATAAATGCCCCGAAAAAAAACACATTATATTTGATATTAGTTTATGATATTATTCACATAAAAATTTTCTGACGTAAACTTGAAGAGTAAGCTTAATTAGTTTCTTTACATTTTTGTGAGTATATTTGTACTTTTAATGTCAACCCGATCAATTTAAAGTCAGTCAAACGTACGTTTATAACATATAATCAATACTTTAAATTGATGTTATTCAAATACTTGTCGCGTTGTAAATTACAATATACAGTCAAACCTGTGAATAAAGCCCATACAAATGAGAGACTATATATGGCCTTTATAGACAAGTGATCTTTTATTCGGAGTTAAGTATGTTGTATTTTTATCCATTAATGTTTATCAGAAGGTGGGCTCTTTTTACAGGTTGGCCTATATTCGGAGGTTGTCTGTTACACTGGTTTAACTGTAATAAGTTATCAGTTGAGATTTTTCTTTGATATTGTCACCGTGACTTACTTCATGAAATACGCGAGACCTTATGTCAGATTAACCTCAACTGATAAATAAATGTGTAACTTTCTATTTAATGAAATACAGTTTGTTATCAGTGTAATGTAATGTATATCACTCTTGGTAAATTCATCATAGTGAAAATTGTTTTTCGCTAAGTCATTTTCAAAAACAAAAAAAACCACGTTATTAATTGTTTTTCCCCCCTTAAACTATAACGAGGAATAGGAAAGTTTAACGAAATTATACATTTTCGCCTATCTCTAAATATAGCAGCCTACATAGAAATAAGTTCTATAGAAACTTATTTACAGAAAAATAGAAGAAACATATAAGCACATACAATTTGATATAAACATATAATTTAACATTTAATTTCTTCTTGTCCAGTCAACGCACACGTGATCATGAGACATCTTTTTTTCTCATATATATTTACTAATACGTATATATTATACGCTTCTATAATTAAAGATTTTAATCAAATTAATTAAATATATATATTCATATAATTTATGTTCACTACATTTAGATATCGTTATCGCATTTATTTTATTATAAAGTTGAAAGAGAAAGTAAACTTGACACCAAAATTACTACAGAAAATATTTGCTACACTCAGATCGTATCGTAGATAACGCTAAATATTTTGTACCTAAAAGTTTTGAAATACTTGAAAGATACATTTTAAATATTCGTTATAGTATAAAATAAAACACATATTCTGAAAATATCGAAATAGAAATTTTATTACTAATGTGTATATTATATTAAGTATGATTCACGTTTGTTATAGTTCTAAAAAATTATTAAAAAAAAAATAACTTAAATTTTCAAAAATAACAAAAATAATGTTCGTACCTCGATCTTTCTTTCTCCATCGTCATAGAAATTTTGAACTCAAATAAACTTCACTTTGATTATTATATATATATGCAGGTCACTGCGAACCGGTTCAATCTAAGCTGTTAAACTTCAATCAAACACTGTCACGTGATTGATATTTAACATGCGTTATGTAAATATAACACACTGTTCAGTGAGTTACATAATCCAATCGTACCCGTTTTCAATGCAGCATTTACTTTCTTAAGAATATAAGCAAAAATTAGAGGTTCGATACGAAAATAAATTGAATTTTAATATATTTAAATGTTCGAACATTCAGTACTATAGTTGTTACTTATGCGCGGCGAACGTGACGAGTTGCTTTCTCATCGTTAATTACCTAAAGTCGTTCACTCGTGACAGTAAACATTTGAGCCGCGTCACGACAAAACCAACATAATGGGTTTGCGACCAGCATGGATCCAGACCAGCCTGCGCATCCGCGCAGTCTGATCAGGATCCATGCTGTTCGCTATCAGTTTCTCTACTTGTAATAGGGTTTGTAAGCCCTGACCAGACTGCGGGGATGCGCAGGCTTGTCTGGATCCATGCTGGTCGCAAACGCATTATGTTGGTTTTGTCATGACGCGGCTCATTTTTCTTTTACTTTTTATTCTATCTAATCAGAAACACGTATACTACGGCTCGTGAGTTTGCGCACAAATTGAAATGTAAATCAGTCCTTTCATTTTATTTTCTGCGGTGGTCTTAACTATAAACATTAATTATATGTAATGGAAGTCTTTTAAGTATATACATATTTCACAAAATATACAGACACGGACGTGTTATATTGAAATAACGATAAAATGTTGCAATAGATATAGACAAATGCAATAAAGGCTGTTGCTAAATGATATGTTACTTTATAAACCTATAATATATGCCTTCAAAACGCTGCAATTGAGTTTTGTTTTGTTTAATTTTATTTTTGACTGTTTTCTTTTATCATTTTTTTATTAGTTTCCAGCCAATAGAAGGAGATATAAAACATTCCGAGAGAAATTTAAAGACATCATGAATCAAAGCGTTGTTTTCTAGCTTCGTGGAAGAACAAAAATTAATGAATTCTTAAAAGAAAAAACAAGTTGTTTACCTTCCTTTCTAAAACATTTAATTAGCATTGATATGTATTTTTTGTGCATGAATTTCACGACATTACATAAATCTACGTTATTTAACGTATCTAGCGTTATGTTTGTTTCTCAAAAGTTCCTTTTCTAAACATTTTTACGTTTATACTTTCATTTTTTTGTCTTTTCAATGATAAACCTGTGATGATGAAATATCTATGCATCTATAGAAAAAAATCAATAAACAAAAATGTAAATATAGATATTTGCATGAAGATATAGCATGGACGTGCCCAGGGCGACAATTCTGATATGATTTATTTGATATATCAATATTCATTTTTTTTCGGAGCAATGTCCTTTTAGATATGAACCTATCGGGCGATATCGGTTGCAATATCTTCAGAGGACATTCTCGATTTAAAAAGATGCTTTGATGTTAAGTTTATGCTCTTGATAATTTACATGTTTATCCATATGTCCATGTATATTTTTGAAATTTCAACAGTAGTATAAAAAACATTCAGCAGTAAAACATACGAAATTTCAGTTTACCCCTTCTACGCTAGATATCTCAAATGGACTTATTCATATTTCAATCTGAACAAAACCATTAACGAAAAAGTATTTCAAAGTATGTATAAATGGGAGTGTTATATGAAGATGTGCCAATGGATCTTGGTCTGCACTGGTCGCATGGGTAGTATCAGTCGCCACTTGTACGCACACAGAAGAACAGTTTGATTTGAGTGATGAAAAATTAAAAGGGACTCCACTGTGGATTTTTAACAAAATGGGACCAGAAAAAATAAGTTTGAGATTATTGTTCCATTTGATGTAGGTCCAGACCTCAAACGTGTGAGCAAAATTTAAAATAATTCGCTTACTCCATTTTTCCAGAATAATTAATTAACTTGAGAAAAATGACCTAAAGAATGAAAAGCGTTTCAACGCGTTTTACTCAAATCGAGCTCTAAATAATAAATTACGATTTTCAATATATTTCTGGATGTATCTCTAAATTATCTGTTGTCGCATATCTTTCTGTTTCAAGTACCTCGGTTAGTTTTTAAGAAATTCAAATTTAATATTTTCAGACTTTGAGATCTCGGCGGAGTTCCTTTAATAACATTAAGTTATATGTAAATGGCAAATAAAAAGTGTTTTCATACATTCAGTTGTTATTAGGAGTTAATAACCGTTGGTTATATATGGATTGCAAGCATTTAGTCAGTCGTGAAAAGTCAATAATCAAATAAATAAATGAAGATTACGAGTAATGAAGCGTAGATAACGATTTATTAAATGTACATTACAAGAAAAGAAGTGTAAATCACCTTTCGATATAATAAAAACGTATTCGGCTAATTAATGATCTTATCTAATAAAAAGGTAAAATGAATATAAAACTCTGATATGTCAAACCAAGAATCTTGTGTCCAGATTGATTGGCCAAATTTCCAATTTAGTGTCCAAGACTCAATTATACATCGTTTGACGTAAAGTATTTTTATATTCTTTTTGTTTATTTGATTAGATCATTAATTAGTCGGATATTTTTTTTCCATTTATATTGTATTGTTCGCTCCAACCAGGTCACGTGAATTTGTAATACATATGACTTTGTTTTACACGTCATATTGTAATTTAATTCCTACTTTTATGGTACCGCATTTCTGTTCTGTAAGCATGCAAATTGGTATAAAAATTGAAAAATAAAACTTTTAAAAGCAAGTTATAATATGTTACCAACATTTTGTTATACGAGTATTACTACAATAAGAATTATACGATAATAAACATAACATTTAAAGGGACTCCACGGTACCTGCATTTTTTTCGAGATCACTTTTCCATTTCATACAGATTGAGACAAGTGCCTTTTGAGCAAAATTTCTGATCATTCGCTCACTCTGTTTTTTTCTGGAATGAGTATTCTTATTGCGAAAAAAAAAATGATTGGGCTATGAATAACACAAAAATACAATCTTTTTTCGTTTTATCTCTGAGTATGTTTCTCAGTATCTTCTATTTTAACTGCCTAATCTGATTTATATTAGAAAATTCAAATTTTATGTTTTCAGACTTTTGGTCCTTAGCGGAACATGCTGCTTCATATGGATCGCAAGTAACAAAATGTAAATAACATCATATTGAATGATAATTGCAAGCAATGAAAAGTCATGAAGATGTCAAATCTAAATTGGCATCAATCAATTCAAAATTCAAAAAGTTTAATCATCAAACCCCTGTTCTGACAAATATCGCGTCGATTCTTACCTTTCTACGAGAAGAATGTGGTTGACAGATTACCGAAAGGTGTGGAAGTTGTAGACGCGCTCAGATTTTCTCACAAAAAGTTGCGAAGGACAGATTCTCTGTGGGTACCTGTAGCTCTAATTTTCTTCACTCTTAAACAATGTCGACGGGTAACCTAGAATAAAATTTTTAGCTTTAATAAAGGTGTTTAAACTAACCTAGATCAGGGACAGACAGTCACAAGTTCAAAACTTGTTGAATTTTGTATACAACACTACAGATAACTCAAAGTAAATGAGTAAATAAATTAATAAATGTATACAATAGGTTTAATGATTAGGTTGTAGTTAGAGATAAATATACTAGTGACATTCCCTTGACCGGTTATATGAAAAAATGTGAAATTATCTTATAGTAACATAATTCATAATCAGTTTAATTAAGTCATTTACTCAACGGATTTATCTTGTGCCCATTTCTAACACATGGGGATTCCAAAATAATAATGATAAAAGTCAGAGGCCAGTGGTAAGACAATCTGACTCGACTTCATAGATATGCAGGCTAACCTGGTGATAAACAATCTGGCTCGCCTGCATAGCTATGCAGGCTGACTTGGTGATAAACAATCTGGCTCGACTGCATAGATATGCAGGCTGACCTGGTGATAAACAATCTGGCTCGACTGCATAGATATGCAGGTTGACCTTATGATAAACAATCTGGCTCGACTGCATAGATATGCAGGTTGACCTTATGATAAACAATCTGGCTCGACTGCATAGATATGCAAGTTGACCTGGTGATATTCAGTCTGGTTCGGCTATACATTAATGCAAGCTGGCCTGCTGATACCGACTGTACAGTTTGACCTGGTGATATACAGCATGGTTCAACTGCATAGATATACAGAATGGCCTGATGATATACAATCTGGTTCTACTGCACATATATGCATGACTGCACAGATATGCAGTATGACCTGGTGATATACAGTCTGGTTCGACTGCACAGATAAGCATGACTGCACAGATATGCAGTATGACCTGGTGATATACAGCATGGTTCAACTGCAAAGTAGTTAGACGAAAGCAAACAAACCAGTTGCAATTAAAATAGAATTGTGGTATTGGTGTTAACGTCATAGAGAATATAACCGATCAACGTTTTGTTATACATTTACAGTAGAGGCATTTTTTAACAAAACAACAAGAAGTCTACTTTAAGTTATATTTCACAACATTTTTTGTAAACCAAGCTGTGATGAATATTATATATCTATGGAATAAACTAGCACACATAACTAAATTATCATTAAATTAAAAAAAATGTAAAAACAATCATTGTATCTTCCATGAAAGATGAAAATACACAATTTTCCTTATCTAATTACATATCAATTTAGTCACTGATAGTATATTGCCATTTGAAGAATCTAAACGATATCGTGCATTAAAATAATTCAATAGCTTTGTGCAAAGTTAAAATAGACCAAGGGAGATAATAAAGATTTATAGAATTGTACTATCTATTACAATGAATTGTCATACTTTAACCCACAAAAGCAACTGAGGAATTAATTTGATTGTCCACTTGATTTTGAAAATACACTCAGTGACAACTGAATATGAAGAATGTATGAACACATGTACAGTAGTTTGAAATAAATCTACGACATTCCTAAATTAAAATAAGCCGTCTGTGTATTAGTTTATACAGACGCCATTTTAGTAAAAAGATTTGTAGGAAGCCACACTCTCAAATCCCTTCCTGGGACCAACCAGAACTGAGCAATGAGTGTTAGTTTTCTTGCTCATAGAAACAATTGCTTGCTCCAGACGGGGTTTGAATATGCACGGCCATCAATCGTAAGATTATTAGTCCGACGACAGTTATGAGCTAGGTTTGTTTACTTAGTCGTACACCTATAGAACAGATTTTCAAAATTCTGAGATCAAAATGGAAATGTCCAAATAGTCTATTATACAAAATCAATAAAGAGGTGGTTCAAACGACTTAAATGGACACTTAACTGTTTAAGAACTGTTTTAGTCATTATTTGAATCTTATAAAGAAGAGAGTTTTTCAAATTCAAAATAGGACAAATCCATTTCACAAAGTTCATTAGCACGGTATGTATCGTATAAACGCAAGGTTTTTATTGTAAATATTTAATCTGCTGTGCGTCATCAGAAAATAAGCCCCAAAATGTTACATTCCTCATATAATATTTCTCTCTTTTTTGCATTCAACACCAAAGATATATCAAATAATGATATTTTAATTTATTTTTAATTCTTCTTATATTTTTTCAAATATATGATAAAATAGGATGAAGATTCAAATCCGTATTTTGACTTATTATCATTAACGATGCAATCTGGAATATGTCAGGGTGCCGATGCTGTACCCATCTGTTCTAAACAGTTAGTACCGAATAATTTATTCAACTATCAATTTAATTTGACATTAAGATTAAACGCTGAAGATGAAAATTACGTGAAAATTTGTCAGATTAAATACTCTTTATACCAACTTGACGTTTAAGAAGGTGTGCACGTGATTAACACTACGTATCATTTTCAATTATATATTTACTGTATTTATTAACTAATAGCATTCTTTATCAAGATTGTCATGCTGGGAAAATACAATCTTTTACATAAAATTTTAATTGAGGAAAGTTTAGATTACGTTTTTTCTCTCTCTTATTTTTCAGCTAAACAACTTTATTGCACCGCATCTAAAAGTTAAAACGTACATGAATATTTAGACTTAGAAGTGATTTTAATATGATTGAGCGGTGAATATTGTTTGAGTTTTCATTTCACTCTCCGTAAATATATTTTGAGATGCTAATAATGTACTAGTAGTTAGTGTTGACATTAATCACTTACATATTGAATGTTTGCTGTACATTCAGTGTTTTTAGACAGTATAATTTGTAGAAGTCTTTAATGAAAGTATGTTTTGTTCTATATTATTCAAGATATATGCATGTACGTAGATAATATTATTAATAGAAAAACTTATTGAAGTCTTGACCTTACATTAATAAATGGTCCCAGAATTTTATCCTACAAAAGCGTGGCAACAAATATCACTTATTTAGCCGTACAAAAACATATTGTTTACATTTCCAAAAACGTGTGACTTTTTTAAAAGTGTTAAATAACCACGATAATTTCACAACTTAGTAGGTGAGTCATTTCGAACGCAAGTAACTAAAGCATTTTCTTATTAACTTCTTATCATATTTACTTTACTGCATTTTTCATATTGTCAAATGGTCACATTAAATTTGTTTCCATATGATGGGTTTTCTTAACCCAATAAATACCAGCATGAAGTTGTAATTAATTTAATTGCCGTTTACTTGAGTTAAGACGGATTTTAGCTGTGCATTTGTCTGACGTAACAAAAAGCGTTAAGGACAAGGTCGGCGATAAGATTTACAATAGGACTTCTGTAAGTGATGCCAAAATAGATTGACATGCGGTGTGGAACTAATTTATGTGAAATGCAACAACTGAACTAATTGATGTAAAATGCGACAACTACGCTTATTGATGTTAAATGCGACAACTGGCAACAACTGAACTAATTGATGTAAAATGCGACAACTGATCTAATTAATGTAAAATGCGACAACCGAACTAATTAATATAAAATGCGACAACTGAATGATAGCAAATGGGACAAATGGCGACAACTGAACTTTATCAATTGAACTAAAATATGTTGGCAAATAAGACAATTAATGACGTCAAATGTGACAATTGAACTGTGTATAAGATTACCCAATTGCAAGACAAAAAACTTTAAAATAACAAATCATGAATATTATATAATAAACGCAATATCGGGTATGTCAATAAATGCAAAAAAACTAACAAATATAATGTCAAAAAAAATGAAACTAATGAATGTATAATGTTGACATAAATTATGTGATATTAAACTATGGTAATGTTAATAACTTACAAAAATGAAACAAAATATAAAATAATGAATAGTTGCATTTCCGCTAAAATATTTAAAAAATCTATTGCATTACTGCCCTTGAGAAGGAAAAGGAAAATTTTGACATTAAACTAATTTAAGGACGCAGATGATGCGGTTGGTGAAAAAATGGGCAATTTCATGATTTATTCATTAATACATCATTATCATATATATCATATCTGTCTTGTTATATATTCTTATACAGGCATACATTAACCTAACTAAAATAAATATATAAAATGCAGAATGATCTATGTATGCTATATACTAGCAGCAAAAATAATAAGTTTATTTTAAAAAATAAGGAAATTTAATTACAAGAGCTGTCAAAGGAGACAGCACGCTCGACTACAGTCAACACCAGTTGCAGTTATATACTGCTAGGTCACGTCACAATAATGTCTTAGTCATAAAACGCTGTTATAGTATTACAACCATACAAGGAAATTAAAGTAAACAAATTATTGATTAATCAATAGACCCACAAAGTAAAAGGGCACATGGGAAGGGGTTTCGAGATAAGGGGAAGAGAGGGGCAAAATTTAACAAAATTAAATACATGTAAATAAAACTAGGGGCAAAAAGGGAATATACTTACCGTGATCGAGAAAACAACAAAGGACACAAACAAAAATGTCACCAAAACTGAATGAAACAAAAAAGAAATACATCTGAGGAACACAGAGGGGCGCCGCCTTGGAACGGTCATGAGCATAAGCACTGCTGGGGAGTTTAAACCATTTCAGGGTGCACCAAACCTCACTTTTAGCCCCACCATGATCCTCTAAAATGATACACTGTTAATAAAATGAATCCACGCCAAGCGAAATTCTAACAGTTGTTACATTAAGTAAATAAGTAAAACACAGAGATGATCATGTAAAAACATATAAAGTTAACCCACTGACCATAACAAAGGTACTCAATGTCTTAAAGGAAGACAGAGCAACATGAAAATTACCTACAAGGACCCGACGAAGTAAGACAGAAGACAAACATTAAGACAATTCAGTCCCAAAAGGCCTAAGAACCTTCCATCATAGAGTCTCCCATTTGGTCCCTCACATGTAATCAAAAGAGGAAAACGTAGTGTTCAACTGTAAAAGGGTTTGGAAATTTCTATAAAGAACTCCACATTGGGGCACAACGTTAACAAAATAAATCTACTAA